TGTATAGGCTCGAAAGCCTACTACCAATTAAGCATATTAGGTGATGTGCATCTCTGTAATGAGAAGGGGTGTGGTCTAATGACATCAACACCCTATATCAGGTGTGCATAATTATTAGGCAACTTCCTTTACTTTGGCAAAATGGGTCAAAAGAAGGACTTGACAGGCTCAGAAAAGTCAAAAATAGTGAGATATCTTGCAGAGGGATGCAGCACTCTTAAAATTGCAAAGCTTCTGAAGCGTGATCATCGAACAATCAAGCGTTTCATTCAAAATAGTCAACAGGGTCGCAAGAAGCGTGTGGAAAAACCAAGGCGCAAAATAACTGCCCATGAACTGAGAAAAGTCAAGCGTGCAGCTGCCACGATGCCACTTGCCACCAGTTTGGCCATATTTCACAGCTGCAACATCACTGGAGTGCCCAAAAGCACAAGGTGTGCAATACTCAGAGACATGGCCAAGGTAAGAAAGGCTGAAAGACGACCACCACTGAACAAGACACACAAGCTGAAACGTCAAGACTGGGCCAAGAAATATCTCAAGACTGATTTTTCTAAGGTTTTATGGACTGATGAAATGAGAGTGAGTCTTGATGGGCCAGATGGATGGGCCCGTGGCTGGATTGGTAAAGGGCAGAGAGCTCCAGTCCGACTCAGACGCCAGCAAGGTGGAGGTGGAGTACTGGTTTGGGCTGGTATCATCAAAGATGAGCTTGTGGGGCCTTTTCGGGTTGAGGATGGAGTCAAGCTCAACTCCCAGTCCTACTGCCAGTTCCTGGAAGACACCTTCTTCAAGCAGTGGTACAGGAAGAAGTCTGCATCCTTCAAGAAAAACATGATTTTCATGCAGGACAATGCTCCATCACACGCGTCCAAGTACTCCACAGCGTGGCTGGCAAGAAAGGGTATAAAAGAAGAAAATCTAATGACATGGCCTCCTTGTTCACCTGATCTGAACCCCATTGAGAACCTGTGGTCCATCATCAAATGTGAGATTTACAAGGAGGGAAAACAGTACACCTCTCTGAACAGTGTCTGGGAGGCTGTGGTTGCTGCTGCACGCAATGTTGATGGTGAACAGATCAAAACACTGACAGAATCCATGGATGGCAGGCTTTTGAGTGTCCTTGCAAAGAAAGGTGGCTATATTGGTCACTGATTTGTTTTTGTTTTGTTTTTGAATGTCAGAAATGTATATTTGTGAATGTTGAGATGTTATATTGGTTTCACTGGTAATAATAAATAATTGAAATGGGTATATATTTGTTTTTTGTTAAGTTGCCTAATAATTATGCACAGTAATAGTCACCTGCACACACAGATATCCCCCTAACATAGCTAAAACTAAAAACAAACTAAAAACTACTTCCAAAAATATTCAGCTTTGATATTAATGAGTTTTTTGGGTTCATTGAGAACATGGTTGTTGTTCAATAATAAAATTAATCCTCAAAAATACAACTTGCCTAATAATTCTGCACTCCCTGTATAGGTATGCTTGGTCTATGTTCAGTTTGACATATTTTTGCACCACCCAGTTAATGTTACCATCATGAAAGTATATATAGTATATATTTTTATAAAGTAGACATCAAAGGTTATAGAAGATGGGGTGTTTTGACTTCTTTCCCCCAACAATTTTGCCCCCCCAAAAAACAGAGAAAGTGTAGTGGTAATTTTTAAATTCTGGTTTTTATGCACACGTCATCTGGTTTTGGCCAGCTGGTTATGTGTTACTGCCAGAAAACTTGTTAGACCAAATGTGCAGGTAACAAATGTACATTTAGCAGCAATCTTTAAACTGACTCCTGCAAATAGAATCTAACTGGAGATTTTGGGGAAGGAAACTGACTAACAAAAAATGGCTGCTTTCCAAAGAAACAAAAAATAAAATAAAAATTCAGAAACACTTCTTACAACCGTTCTGTGTGGTACAGCTTGAAACATGTTCCTACACACAGTCCTGGTTTCGAAGGGCAGTCAGGACAGTGAAAAGGGGTGTCTGTCCTTTTCCCGTTTTTAAAACAGACCCGGCAACGTTTCTGGGGGGGGGTTTCTAGCAGTTGGCGGTAACTTAAAAATAAAATGCCTGGACTCAGCTTGCACCGTTGTTGGAACTTATCCATCTCCATAAATTGTTAAAGAAATGATTTTCAACTGAAATTGGAGAAAGGTGGTTTTCCCTGGATTATTTAAAAAAAAAAAAAGCAAAAATGAGTTGTGGGTTGCTATTTGCATCAGATAGATAGCCACCTTTTTATACCACATTTTGGTTTTTCGTAAAATAAGATATGGCTGCATCAGCTGATCAGCCAAATCAACAACCCCCATGTACTTATTATACGCCCTGATGCAAACCGGTTTGGACTCTACTCTGCCCCGGACAGAGACGTCTGACATGCGTTCGTCATGGATGGTGGTTAGCATGTTGACATCCTTCTTGTCCCTAAATTTTAGTGCAAGCACTTTGGCTTTGCGAAGTGCTTTACATTCGCCTTTTTAAAATTTTGCCTCTATGAGAGATCGTGGAAAGTCTTTGGAATTTTTTCTGGCAGTGCCGCAGGCCAGTGTCTGTAAACCATAAAGTGTTTTAAACAGACGGACACTACTATAAAAATTATCCACATAAAGGTGGTAACCTTTATTAAACAAGGGGTTTAGGAGGTCCCATACAAGTTTCCCACTTGTCCCCAGGGAGTCAGGACAGCCAGGAGGGTCCAGTTGACCATCTTTCCCCTCATATACACGAAAGGCAAACGTGTATCCACTTTCACTCTCGCACAGTTTGTACAGTTTTATGCCATACCTAGAGCGCTTTGAGGAGATGTATTGTCTGAACCCTAATCTCCCTTTGTATTTCATTAGCGATTCATCTATGGATACATTTTGTTGGGGGGTATAAACATCCGAAAATTTGTCCTGAAAATGGTCTAGCAGTGGGCGTATTTTATGAAGCCTATCGTATTGGGGTGATCTCTAGGGTGACAGAGGGTATTGTCACTGAAATGTAAAAATCTCAGCAGTAACTCGTATCTGGCTCTAGGCATGGTTTGGGAGAATACTGGACTAGACATTATTGGGTTGGTGCTCCAGTATGAGCGAATCAATGGCTTCTTTATAATCCCCATGAGCATTGTAAGAGCCTAGACTTTTTTCAGCTCTGGGACATCTGTGGGATGCCAGTCATGCTCCCTGACTGTATAGCTACCTGGATTGTTATCAATAAATTGGGTAGCATACAAGTTAGTCTGGGAAGCAATCTCCTCCTAGATGGTATCCCCTAAAAATAGTTCTACATACTGCATTGGGGAGAATCCATCCACATTAACATTAATGCCTGCTTTGGCACTAAAAGGGGGGACGTTGGGCTCGGCTAACTGTGGAGGTACCCAGTCCTCCTCCACATTCGGTGTAGCAGAGGAAGCACAGCTTCTTTCTTCAGCCGGCTCACACACAGATGACATGTCGTCTTGACTAGATGTGTCAGAAAACTGACCTGGGTCAAAATCTGATGCAGTGTCAGTGGCGTCAGAGTCTGACGCCAAGAAGGCATATGCCTCCTGCAAGTTATACATACGCTGCATGTTTTACACACGACTAAAACAAATTACAAACACACAAAAAAAAATGTATACTTTTTTTTTTTTTTTACTAAAACAGACTAAACTAACTCCTGTCACAAAAATCTAATGGAGATTAGGGGGAAGGAAACTGACTGACTAAGACAGACCAAGACACAGATATTTAAAACAAATTTAACCCTTTAAGGGCAAAAAAAAATACAGACAGTACAAATGCACTGCTGTAACAGATCTGGCAGGGAAGGGGTTAAAAGGTGATTTTTAAAATAAAATACTGATACTTTCTGATGGTCACTGAACACTGCTGCAACAAACTATCACGATCTCTGCCTCTCCTGCCTCACAAAACGCTACAGAGGAGAGAGGGGCAGAGATCACTGTCAATGTTAGTGTTTGTAACACCCACTTTGACAGCAGCCAATTGTGAGCGATCGCGGATCGCTCACACGCCACAATTGGCTGTTACTATCTGCCTGGGATGTCTGGCAGATAGTTACAGTGTTATACCGGCGGGAGCGATCTTTGATCGCTTCCCGCAGCCCGTTTTTCGCTATGACGGTTCAGGACTGTCAGCGGTCCAAACAGCGGTCCTGAAGGGGTCCTGGAATTTGCGCTATATGTCTGTTCAGGCGTAATTCACCTCTTTGATATTATGTGCACCCACACTTATTATATATCATTTTATTCAGGGGAAACGGGGCTTTTTTATTCAACATCAAATATTTAGGTATGAAACATAATTTAATATGAATAGAATATAAAAAAATGGGAGAAAATAAGATTTAAAAAAAAAAAAATTTAGTTCTACGTGACATTTTAACTGTGAATGACATAATACTGTTTGCTTTTACTGCAATAAAATACACATATTTGTCTTTAGTGATGTCTCACGTGTAAAACAGTACCCACTATGTACAGGTTTTATGGTGTTTTGGGAAGTTACAGGGTCAAATATAGCATTTTACATTTTTCAACTTTTTCACATTAAAATTCACCAGATTGGTTACGTTGCCTTTGAGACCGGATGGTAGCCCAGGAATGAGAATTACCCCCATGATGGCATACCATTTGCAATAGTAGACAACCCAAGGTATTGCAAATGGGGTATGTCCAGTCTTTTTTAGTAGCCACTTGGTCACAAAGTTAGTGTTAATATTTGTTTGTGTGTGAAAAATGCAAAAAATAATTTGAACACCAATTCTGGCCAGTGTTTGTGACTAAGTAATATAATTATATATATATATATATTTAATCAATATCATTCTACGAGTATTTTGATATTAATATATATATATATATATATATATATATAATTTAATTTTACACTGTTTTAATCTTTATTTATTAATTTTACAGCCAGCAGAGGAACAACCTGTCATTCCAGGCAGTCCCCCTGCTGGCAATGCTGTGGACGGCTCCAATGTACGCTAATGCGTACATGTATGTGTACGAAAAAGAACATATCTTGACCAAGTATACGCAATACATTCAAGGTTATTGTCGATACATCAATGACTTAGTCATTATATGGAATGGCTCCTTAGAAATGGCACATCAGATGGTGATACAGTTAAATCAATTATCCTCACCAATTAGGATGACAGCCAACATTGATGTGGAACAAGTACAATTTTTGGATCTCTCTATCTCCATAGGTGATGGGAAATTGGAATACAGTATGTTTACCAAACCTACGGACAGGAATACACTTTTACATTATCAGAGTGCGCATCCAGTAGCACTCAAGAACTCCCTACCTAAGGCGCAATACCTACGGGTTATCAGAAATAATTTGAAGCCAGAAGTAATGGAACAACAACTACAGGCGATGACAACTAAGTTTATGGAAAGAGGTTATCCACAACCAATCTTACAAAAAGCGCTTCAAGATGCAAGACATGCACGCTCAAGTGAAAAGGCAAGCAGCCCCACAAAATTAGTATTTCCTATGCAATTTCATCAGTCTGCTACATTAATTTATTCTGCTATCAAAAAGAATTGGAAAATGTTATCAAGTGATGACACTCTCCCTAAAATATTTAAAGAACCTCCTTTGATATGCTATAAAAGAAACAGAAATTTAAAGGATATGTTAGTACATACTGACCCCATTAAAATTATACAACGGCCATGACAACTCAGAATCGAGGGTCAGTCCGCTGTCTGGGTTGCGTCACATGCGGCCATATGATGCCAGCCCGGTTCTTTAGCCATCCCAATACCAACAAAAAATATCAAATAAAATATACAACCACATGTAAAACCCCATTTGTGGTTTACAAATTGTCATGCCCATGTGGTTTGACATATGTAGGGAAGACCGAGACGGCGCTTTGTGAACGCATCAGAGGACATCGGTCCAGCATTAGACTGGCTTACAGGGATTTGACATCAGATAAGCCTGTAGTGAAACACTTTTTGGAATATAAGCATCCATTAACGGCGTTGAAATTCGTAGGGATTGATCCCGTTCCAGTCCCTAAGAGAGGTGGTGATCGTGGCAAATTATTGTCACGAAGAGAAGCCTATTGGATACACGAACTCGAGACAGTATCCCCTAATGGTCTTAACGAGACACTACCTCTGCATGCTTTCTCATAATTGAGTAATTTTGTGACTTTTTAATACTTTCATATATTGATGTTTTATTGTTGCATAACTAAATTGCTCGTTTAGACTAAAATGATATAATTAGTAACTAACCTTCATTAACTGAAAAAAACTTATAAATTATACAAGGGTTAGCCGTATGTGCATTATATATATGCATTATATATACATATGTGCTAACTAAGTTTTTATTGTAGTCTACAAGGTGCCTTTAAGGTATTGAATTTAGTTCACTACAATTATAGTATAGGGCACCTTAATATATTTAATATATTTAAGATATCTAGTAAGTTTTTTGCTTTATTACTTAGTCTATCTTTAATGTATGGTATATAGCATATACATATACAAATGTAGTTTTTAGGGAGAATTATAACAATTGTTCACTTTTTGCAGTTGTGGCACTTTATCTTCACAGGCACTTTATGCATGTACTTGAAGCACTTTTTCGTCACTGGCACTTTAAATTTATTAACTCATTGATTCTTTTATCACTTTATCAAGATAACATTTAGTACTTTGAGGGTTATTTATATACTTTGCCGAACTTTTAATAGTTTGGCAATACTTTGATTATGTGATTATGCAACATGTCTCTTTAAAGTAAAAACTGCTATAAATTCATCCATCTGTATCACCCCTTCCTTTTCTCAACTTTTTCGCAAAGTTAGTGCGAAAGAATTGTTTTTTTTTTTAATTTTAATTTTTTTAAATTTATATGAATAGATCTCTGCTGAGGCATAGCCTAACATTTTGATCACTATACATCATCACAATATTCTAATAGCACGGCACCTCGTTTATAACTCCTTTATATTTATTTATTTTAGGTAGTATTTTTTTTGGTTGCCATGGCGAAATTGCCATGACAACGATTACTAGCTGTAAACACTCTATGTTTCCGATATGCACTGCACATGCGCACTTTAGCCGATTACATCATTTGCACATGCACACATCATTCTGGGTTGCTTTGACACTCGTAGTAGTTTGGATGATCACGGCTGCCGTCCAGTACACCGCTGGAGATGATTTTTCATTACACATGTGCACAGAGGTTGGCCAGACGCCGCCAGTCACACGAGTCACCTGGGGTGAGTTCATTTTCTTGATTATTATTTCCTTAATTGTTGTTTATGTTTTAATTATACTGCCTATATATTATTGGTATAATTCTATGTAATACATTGATCCTGATGAAAGTCCTGAGGGAGGACTGAAACGTTGATCTTAAAACTTATGTTTTAATTCTCATTGAATAAAGAAGATTTTTAACTGAAGACCGTGAGTGCTACCATTACTATTTTTCACTATATATATGTTAAGACACCCCTGATGTCTTTAAACGAAACCACCGTTTAGTCAACCTTCCCCTTCTGCAATACCAATAATCTCCGTTCGCATGAACTGTAGTGCACGAACCAAACTCAGGGGAAGCTGCAATCTCCCGACCAGGATCCGTGAACAGCTCCAACCTCCCGAACGGAACTCCACGAACTGCTGCTAGCCCCCGAACAATAACATCCACCAAGCGGCTTTCGGTTCCATCCAGCAGTCTCTAAACACAAATAATAAATCCCCCCAATAACGAGACAGAAGCTCCGCATTGAGGGTCAAACAGGATCTGGCTTTACTGTGGGCTACCTGCCCGTATTTATGCAGGTCTCCCACTTGGTGGACACTCCCCTAGGGGACCAAATGGGAGACTGTAATGACAGACAGACATGGTGACATTCCAGACATACAGTCACAGCTTTTACCCACAATACACTATGGTTTCCTCCTCTCTGCCCTGGAGATAATTAAGAAGTAACTCAATTATCTCCAGGACAAAGCCAGTCGCCATTTTAAATATAAAACCAGAAAAATGCATAAAAATATATAACTTTACAAAAACCGAACATTTCCCATTCGTATCACATATCCCCAGATAGCCTGGATCTGAGTGCATATTATTAGCGAATAGTGCTCAGATCCCACACACATAGTTCAGTCGCCATGGAGTCAAAGTTCTTACAGTCCTACGAATGACTCCATGGGAAGGCTATCTGGGTTAAGTCCTTTCGTATGTTGCAAAACTCCCGAACGGCCGGTATTCGTATGATTTCGTGGAGGCAGCCAGGATGGCATAGAATGCCCACCGTCCTTAAGGGGTTAAAATAACTGACAGGTGAAGTGAATAACATTGATTATATTGTTACAATAGCACCTGTCAAAGGGTGGGATATATTAGACAGCAAGTGAACAGTCAGTTCTTGAATTTCATGTGTTGCAAGCAAGAAAAATGGACAAGCAAATATATCTAAGAGACTCTGACAAAAGTCAAATAGTGATGACTAGAACATCTGAGGGTCAGAACATCTTCTGGCATGTGCCAGTGAACTGGCATCATGATCATAGGGGCCCAAGGCTTGTTGATGCAGGAAGAGCTTCTGTAGCTCATATTGCTGAGAAGCTTAATGTTGGTCATGATAGAAAGGTATTAGAACACATCACAGTGCATCACAGTTTGCTTACTATGGGTCTGTATAGCCTCAAACTTGTCAAACTTGTCAGAGTGTTCATGAGGAGACATGTCCACTGCCAAAAGTGCCTTCGAAGGGGAAGTGAGCATTAGAACTGAACCACAGAGCAATGGAATAAGGTTTCTTGGTCTGATGAATCAAATTTTCTTTAAGATTAGGTGGATGGCTGGGTGCATTTGCGTTATTTACCTGGGGAAGAGATAGAAGCAGGATGCACTATGGGAAGAAGGCATGCTGGTGGAGGCAGTGTTTTTCTCTGGGCAATGTTTTTCTGGGAAACCTTGGGTCCTGGCACTCATGTGGATGTTACTTTGATACGTACCACCTGCCTAGGGATTACTGCAGACCATGTACACCCCATGGCATGGTGTTCCCGGATGGTAGTGGCCTCTTTCAGCAGGAAAATGCACCGTGACACACTGCAAAAAAATTGTTCAGAAATTGTTTGAGAAACAAGACAAACACATCAAAATTTTAGATTGCCCTCCAAATTCCCAAGGTCTCAATCCCATTGAGCATATGTAGAACAACAAATGCGATCCATGAAGGCCCCACCTTGCATCTTGCAGAACTTCAAGAACTTGCTGCTAATGACTTGGTGCCAGATACCACAGGGCACGTTCATTGGTCTTGTGGAATCTATACCTAGATGCATCACGAGCAGTTTTGGCAGTACGAGGGGGACCTATACGACATTAGGCACCGGGAGGGGAATAGGGGTCCCTATCTATTTCTGCGGCTGCTGTACATTATATACATATGCAGTATTACTGTGATATATTATCTGGTATATATATATTTTACCCCCGGCATCTATTCTAAATTATACTAGATTGTATATTTTTTAGGAGGCTTCTTGTCATGATGAATAGTACTTATGGATTTATAATCTGGTTAAGCACTATCTCATTTACTATTTTTTATTATAGCTACTGTGCACTGAATATAGCCTAGAATTCATAAGGAAACAGATACCATTAAGTGACACTATTTAACCTGGCAACACTGTGTTTGTATCAAACAGCCAGGTGGATAACTTTTGGTTACAATCATTTCATGATACAATCTACCTCCAAGCTATTAAATATCATATCTAGTGTTTTCACTACCTTATGTACATCCTTGAAAGCATTTGGTTCCCTTTTTAATCACTTTTGTTTTTCACTGTGTGTAATACTACCACAATTAAGTCTTTATCTGTGGTTCATTTTTATTTTTTGTGGCACTACTATACGTCACATTTGCTACACATAGGACATGAATATCTATAGTGGTAACATTGTCCTGTTACCAGTTCTTTGTCTGAGACCAGTTCTTTTTTTAAATATATATTTGTACTTTGAGTTTATGCCCTGGATATCCACTTAGCCCCCTTTTTAAAGCAACAGGTGTAGGACATTTTCTGCCCTGCGCCTGATGTGTTTTTTTTTCTAAAAAAAAGTTAAATTATACTACAACAAAATGTAAGTGTTATGGTGTTGAAGGATTACTTTCCCTAATTTAGCCGAGGGACCTATGTCTATACAAATGCTTTTGCAAATATTTCCAGTGAGAAAGTTGACTTTTTTTATGAGTTAAACTTTTGATAAGTAACTATGTAATAGGCTAAAGAAGCATTTGTGTACAGTGTTTTCCCTGTGCGTATAAATATCAGATCCAGTGTACGGTAATATAGCATTTTATTTCATCCATAAGTTATGTATTACTCATAACTGTTTATTTACCTTGTACTATATTGTATTTATTCACTGAGGTGTGTTCGGCTGGAGTGAACGCAAACATATTAGCCATTGCACATATGTATTTGATTAGTATAATTGCAATGTTTGGATCTACTATTTAACTATATTTAGGGAATCCATTACTAATAAATGGCATTTAGGTGGGAAATGCATCAGGTTCCTTTGGGACTCCACCTTGTTATGATGTATTGAAGAAAAGAATATGGTACATACACCCCAAAAGAGTACATTCTCCTATTACTGGAGTGCATTAGTTG